CAAGACTTTGCAACCAATTGTATCCTGAATGTATCGGTAATGTTTACTCATATTTAGATCTCTTATCTAAAATCCTTAAAAAACGTTAAAACCCCGTGTTTTCTAAAATATTTATAATAGAAAGCCAACAAATAAGAATAAAATAGTAAATACGAAAATTCTACATTTAATTAAGTAAAAGTAGGGTCTAAAGGTAAGACTTACTAGGATTTTAACCAGGACCTCTAGTTCACCGTGGGCCATGTTTCTCAACAAATTCAAATATTAAAAATCATGTCAAATTTTGCACGGTCCTAAAAATAGACAAATTGAAAATCAATTTAGTGAATTTTACAAATCTCGTTAAAACCGAAACACGAACAGCTGTTTAAGGAAGTCTACAAAAAAAGATCTAATAAATAAAAAGGTCTAATAATAAAAAGATCTAATAAATAAAGAGATCTAATAAATAAAAAGATCTAATAAATAAAGAGATCTAATAAATAAAAAGATCTAATAAATAAAGAGATCTAATAAATAAAAAGATCTAATAAATAAAAAGATCTAATACATAAAGAGATCTAATAAATAAAGAGATCTAATAAATAAAGAAATCTAATAAATAACAAGATCTAATAAATAAAAAGATCTAATAAATAAAGAGATCTAATAAATAAAGAGATCTAATAAATAAAGAGATCTAATAAATAAAAAGATCTAATAATAAAAAGATCTAATAAATAAAAAGATCTAATAAATAAAATATAGCATAAATATGTGAAGTACACCTGCAGTATGGAAACAGTACAACAAAATGGCCTTTTTACACTTTTTTCTAGTAAATTCCCCTCTAATATATATTCTATTCTCTATGGTTAGAACTATATCCTATATTTAGCCGGACCTGGAGAAATGAGAACCTAGAATAAAGCCTGAACTAATCCTTAGCTCTCGGTCTTTACATAGTCTAATATTCACAATGTTCTCCTCTTTTTCCTTTTTCCTTAATCCAACTTTCCTTTAATTTCCTGTCATAAAGTCACTCATTTCCTGCTTACGGTTTTTTGTGAAGCAATCATGCTCCTAAATCACTCATTTCTTGTCATACTCCTCCAATTACATACAGGGTTACCCACAATAGATGAGACTTCAGAGACGATTGCCAAATTATTAGATAAGACCTTTAAAAGACTATATTAAAGGCAGAACCAAGAAACCGTCATATTTTGATAGTTTTAGGCCGACATTATACAGTCTCATCCTTTGTGGGTAACAACTTATCTATTTTTAGATTACTTTTTATATTTATGTCTTTGACTTGTCTGATTGCCTGTACTGTATGTATCTATAAAACGTCGAAATTATTGAATTGATCCCGTCAACATTTTTTATACGTGTCCCACGGAAAGATTTGACAGGTCACCCGCTTATAAAATATTTCTTCAAAATCATATTCCGAAATGCTTGAAAACCTGCGAAGTTTATAATGGAACTTTATCATAATAATGTGGGATTGAAGTCTTGGAGATAAATCAATATAAAAACTTACGTTTTTACTCCAGTCGTCGTCGTAAATATCAATACTATAAAATAGACTTTCGATTTAAGTGTTATACCTATACAAGCGAAATCAGCATGGATACTCATATACATGAAAACAAAGAAAATCTGTCAATTAATATTTACTTTTTGGTTTACTTGAAAACTTGTAATTAGAAAAGAAATAAAAAAACAAAAATAAGAAATACGTCTTTTTTGAAAATTGATATTAACACCAACCACTGTAACAAAACGAAACGCAGCGCCCGGGAAAACTTTTATTTTAAATTATATTTTCATGTAATGATAAATTATATTCTTTAATCAATCTTCATTTGCTTTAATCCCCTAGTTCTCTTGGGAATCTTTTCAATTTTCCCTCGGGGTAATTTTTCACAAAAATTATTAAATTTTGACAAATTTTCGTTTCATTCTGGCTCCTATTTGGAATCCATTAGAACTGTCAAACACACAGGTTTCTCAGTTAACTTTTTCAGCCAAAGGGGGGGGGGGAAGGCAATTAGGTCAAGGGCTAAAATATGAGGGGGTTTTAGAGAGAAATGAACTAAACTCAAATATTTTTTTAGGTAAGTTTTTGTAACGGAATGCACATTCAAGTTGGATAGGTGGAAAAATGTGATATTATATTCGTTATCAAATGTTAGATAATACTACATAACTTCAGTGCTCGGCGTTGCCCGTAGAATTTTTAAAAGTCGAATTTAAATAAAATCAAGTTATAAAAACAAATTTTAAAGCCTAGGGTGGGTATACCCATCACTGTGATTTAAAGGTCTCTAAGCTCTAAGCTCTCTAACAAAATTTTTGCCATTTACTTCTTGAAAACCAAAGCTTCATAGCACTAAAATGTACATGCAAAGCGCTACAAAAAAGTATAAGTAAGTTAGAGTGGTAAAATCTATGCTTAAAGGGAGTGTTCGATTATCTTTCGCCACATTTATATATAGTTGATTTTTCATAATATGTTTTAATTGTTATGATCTGAGAGTTACTTACAAAAACGTTTATTCTTGTTTCGAGGATTTTTGGTAATGAAGACGACATTTTCATATTTTCCAGGAATGTTCGAAAACAAGTTGCAAGCTAAATATTATTTAAAAACAAAATCAAAACTAGTATGAATTATTAAATATATACAAATGTGGCGAAAGATAATCGATGACTATAGGTTGTAATATCTGAATGATTTGTTTGATATTAAGTTGATTTTTTTACGGTCTAAGTCGTATGTTCCAACTTCCTCAATTTGTATGGGCGCTACGCTCTTCGGTATGAGACGTCTTTATCAATTTTCTCCTTATAGACGCAACAGATAGAAGTAAGATTAGTAGCGATCAAAAGCGCTTTTTTATCGCATTAAGCCTATACCCCCTTTCATTTTTCGCGAACACTCCCTTTAAGGCGTAGCGACTCTTCAAAGTCGACCCTGTCATAAAAAATGAAGAGACTGCTTATAAACGGGCTGAATCTATGCGCCATGTGTTCCCTAAAAAAATCAGCAAATTCGGACAGCTAGAGCTGGCGTATATATATAATATATATATATGAGCGAAGAGTTTTGTTATAACGATTTACAAACAAAATTTTAAATACTTCTGCCTTTATCAGAGGAAACCAACGCCATTTTGTAAATCTCCAATTATACATAAAACCCTGTCAATGATGAATTCATGGATTTTGTTTTTAACTATTCCCGAAAACAAATGTATCAGATTATATTCAATATTTATCAATCTTGCAAATAGAAATGGATGGAAGTGCATTATTCATCTTATCCGCCTAAACCAGTTTTTTCTGGATTTCAGTTCTTTGTTAAAAGGGACTAGTTTAGTGGTACTGTCGTCGTAGTTTTTAGTGACCCTTCTATATATAAATTTGGCTCTGTTTTTTGTTTGTATCCAATAAACGTCAAAACGGCTGAACCGATCGGGCCCCAAATTTTGTGTATGACATCACGCGACCCTAGGAAAGGTTTATGAATGATCAAAATTTAAAAAAAATTGTGTTAAAGTTATTTATTTTTGTAAATTAAATTTTTTTTTTGAAAATCCACAATTTTTTATAAAATCCGCGATATTTTTTCTTTCTTTTAAAATGTACACAAAGAGACCATGTCAACAATTAAAATAGAAGATGGGCGCGAAGCGCCCTAAAACCCTAGTCTTTATAAAAATGGGTCATGCCCGATTCAAAACAGTGCCCTTGAGATCTTAATCTGATCAATGATGTTGGATAACGTGTTTTTTAGGCTTAATAAGTGTTTAATTTTTACATTTTCTCTAACCAAGAATCGGGCATGAATTAGATTGATAACTGATTATTATCAAATCTACGAAAGTGACTTGCGCATTTCTACTTTAGGAAAACATATAGAAATTACCAAATAGAAAACGACAATATCTTCATACGTTATTGATCAGATAAAGGTTATTCAAGGGTACCGTTGTGAATCGTTAATTGCCATTTTTGCATGGAGGGCCACTTTACAGAACGATAGGACCCATAACATTCCTTATTGATACTCCTAGCAAACTCAAATATCTTATTTTGAATATAAATTTTACAAGAAATTTTAGATTTAACTGGTCCTTAAAATAAATGCTAATGGTTCCTTGCATTAAACAATGTTGCCTGCTATCAAGCCAAAAATCTCTTCCAAGAAAGCAATAAAAATTCCAACTTATTTCAAACTCATTCTAAGCAGAATGACAATTTTGTAACAAAATTCTGTTATTTTATAGTGAATATACAAATCCAGTAAACAGCAAAGTGCAAAAGGCTTATTGAAATATTTACAAAATGGCTTCCTATATTAATTTCTCAATTTTCAGAAGTTAGGGGAGGGGGGAGATTGTAACGGAGACTAGTAAGAAACATTTAAATTTAAATTTAATTCAAAATCGTTTATTTTCCCCAAATTTGTTGGTGCAAAAATACTTCTATGGAGAAAAACATGTGTGGGAGGGGGGGGAGGGGGGGTCACGAAAATATACACAGAGATGTATCCTGAATATCCTGAATCCGCCCTCAACAAATTCATCCAGATCCGGATCAAGGTCATAAATATTTCTTTAAGATTAATTGATTTTTTTTAGCAAAAGAGGAATATTTAGATTATTTTCGTCTTCTTTTTCCAAATTTTTAGAAAAATTCTTAATAATCTTTCTTACGAAGCACTTCAAATTTAGTTGTTAAGAGCAAAAAATTTATTATTTTTAACGTTTTTGGTTAATATTCAACCCTTGGCGGATCCGGGCCCAGGAAGCCAAAATGTTCCATTGTTGAAAGTATTACTATTATGAACAATATTCGGCGAAAACCAGAAAATTGTGGAATAGGAAGACGACATTAAGCGTTTTTATGTTGTTACAAACCAAATATCGCTTATTAAGTAAAAAGCACAATTGCAGTGTCTCATGTTCAATGGACTATTTAAATTTCGATTATATCAATAAATAACATTGAAAAAAAAACACATTATTATTTGTAAAAATACTAAAATATAACAATCTAACTAGAGAGTTTCTAGGTTAATATTATACTAACAACAGGTCTAGGGTCTGAATACATTTATCTAGGTACAATGATATTCTAGCAAAAACAAATTATAACAGCTGAAAAATATCAGTTATTATTCAAGGTTGAAAAATTAGTTTAAATGTTCTAATTGGATTAAACTATATAACTAATACTGATTAATTACGGTGAGCCTAGTAAGCTAGTGTTTCACAAAATGTGTAAAAGTGGCTTCTTTTTTAACAATGCATCTTGCAAGCAAGAATTTGAAATAAACAAGGTATAAGTGTCACGCTGGTGATAAACAAATTAAAGATATTTTCACAACTTTTTTACACTTTCAGTTTGGAATACATACAATGTTCTTGATTCTTTAATTACATGAAAACAGAAACTGAAGAGAAAAAATATAAAAATATTTTTTTACAAATTGTACAAACTACATTAAAATTAATATTGCTTGATCGATTGAATACTATTGCAGATCATTCTGGATAGATTGATTGATTGATTGATCAAGGACGAGAAGGTTGATAAAGGACGTGATGATTGATCAACTCTGAGTAAGTTTGTAAACTTCAGTGATATATTTCTCAAGACTGTCATAGGCTGCATTCAGATCATCGTTGGTGATCACTAAATAAGAATAAAAATAATTCAAAAATAGAATTCTATATGTCATTGGTGATCACTACATAGGAATAAAAGTAATAATTCACTAAATACAAAATAAAATAATTATTTGAAATAGAATTCTATATATCATTGGTGATCACTAAATAGAAATTAAAATAATTATTTCAAAATTATCAACACAAATCTAAGTATCCTGGTTAAATGTATCCAAGTACTAGATCCAGATCATATCCCAGCTAAATGTATCCAAGTATCTACATGGATAAAAGTATTCAAGTACCTACCTAGATCAACGTATCCAAGTACTTACCTAGATCTGAGTATCCCAGTACTTACCTAGATCAAAGTATCCAAGTACTTACCTAGATCAAAGTATCCAAATACTTACCCAGATCAAAGTATCCAAGTACCTATCTAGATCAAAGTATCCAAGTGCCTACCTAGATCAAAGTATCCAAGTACCTACCTAGATCAAAGTATCCAAGTACATACCTAGACTACAGTATCCAAGTACCTACCTAGATCAAAGTATCCAAGTACCTACCTAGATCAAAGTATCGAAGTACCTACCTAGATCAAAGTATCCAAGTACCTACCTAGATCAAAGTATCCTGGTTTCTCTGCATATTCCAAGTCTGTTTTGGCAGCTTCAAGTCTACGCTGAAGAGAAACCTCAGTCTCAGTGCCTCGAGCCTAATTCAGAATACTTTTCACTAGTTCTGAATAATTTTGAATAATATCCATCGTATAAACTTTATTTCTTCTATTCATTTTCTCATAAACTTTTTCCAAATTCATGTTAATTTAACAAGATTACTTTCATTTAAAGTAATATTATATGAAAAAGGTGCTAACAAATTTCAAATTATTAATGAAAATATTAACAATATATGAAAAAGATGGTTTGTAAATAAAAAAAATGGGCAAAAAAGAAGAAAATCAGGGACAATAATGAACTGTTCGTTTGATTGAACAAAATTTCCTGAATTCTAAATCTAATTAAATAAATCTATTTAATATTTCAGAAGTTGCACGAAGTGGAAAATTTGTGTATTTATATTTAATATAAAGAGTTGAGACTTCCAATTTCCGGAGTACGGAGTTTATTCATTAAGCTTGACTTAAGTATGCAAAGAGAGGACTTAAGTCTTGAACACTAAAATATATATCAGATTTAAGGACATAAATTCTGGCCTCTTGGTTTCCATATAAATGGATAACATTCAGAGCGGCAGATAAACAGTTTAAAACTCTCACGAGCTTCCCTCAAATCCAATCTTTTTCAAGAATAAAACTTTAATCTAAATTATTCAATATAAACCAGGGGATTGCAGGGAGAAGAAGATCATACAAATCCGGACTATTTGTGCAAAAACTTTTCATTTGTACTTCAGCTTTTGCTTTTAATGCTTTTCCTCAAAACAATTATTAATATAATACAAATTTAAAGTTATTGTTATCATATAATTTTAACATTGATAGTCAATATCTTAATACAATCTTGTGAAATTTTGGATATCCACTGATAAAAATATAAAACAGATAAAAACATGAAAATCAATCAAACTTTAGTCTTTCATGATGTTTGAAGAATATATGCTTTATCCTACTGATTCAAAATGAACACAAATAATTTTGTTATTTTCTTTACCAGATAAATGAATTTTGTTAAACAGGATCTGAATTTCATGAATCTGAGCTGAAAACCTTAGAATGGTGGATATCAAGATCAATGCTTGATCTCCTCTTTTTCTTAATCTCCAGATTAAATAATGCTTGTTCTGCTCTTGTTATTAATCTCCAGATTAATAAACCAATCGGCATTAAGGATATTTCATTCAAAAGTTTTCAGCTCTGAACTGCCTACCACCGGATCAAATTTGAATCACCGATTCAAATCTTGGTTTATCTTTAACTTTGAATTAGTGGTTTAAATTCTAACCGGCCGCGGCAGGAGGTAGTTTAGTGACGTAGCTCAAATTCATTATATTCAGTCCCTAGAGTTGTTTACCTTTAATCTGGTTTCTAACTCAGTGATGGAGGGAGGCTTGATAAAAATGTATTTAGGATTCAGATCAGTTTTCTTTATACTCATCACACCCTGCAGATCAATATCAAGGATACAGATCAATCCTTAACAGTCAATTTCAAGTATTTTAATCAATCAATCAATCAATGATCAATATAATGGATACAAATCAAATCAAAACAATGAATTTACAGTATTTTATTCAAATCGTCAATCATTAAATCTTCAAAAAAATCAATTAAACCATAAGTTGGCAACTTATGAACCGACCCATTTCCATTCATACTAAGTCATCACCACACCACCCTCCCTGACTCCCCCAAACAAACCCCTATATTTGGTAATGTAACATGGGTTTCTTTAGAATTTGAGTCAGGGAGAAAGTGGGGGGGGGGGAACATTTCAGTTAAGACAAAAATTCATTCTAATGTGAAAATTTGAATATTTAAAATTCTATGTAGAATGAAATAGAAATGTTGAGTAAGTGGAATATAAAATCATACTAATGCTTCAGCTCCTGGAAAACTGAGAATAGAAAACAAAGATCTGAAAGGATAGATATTGATCAGGGGCATATTGTTTGAAGAATCCCCCCCCCCCACGCACCACAATCCGGGACCGAATTATTTTAAAAACTTTTAGGAGAAGGATGAACAAATTTAAAATCAACTGGAAAAACGCTCAAATATCGCTCAAACATAATGGGGAAAAAATATTTTTTAAGATAAGGGGGGGGGGGGGATTTTTCAGAAACATATATTCCTCTGGATTTTGATATAGATAGATAGATATATATTTGACTAAATATTTAATTAAAAACAATTTCAATTGCACAATTTTTACATTTTAATTTAGCCAAGGCCTCTCTAACCATTGTTGGTTGTTTTGAATGAGAGGCCCTTCTGCAGCGATACATACATGTTCAATTTAAATAAAACCAAATAAAACATAAACAATTTAAAACTAAAGGAAAAGGAGGAAAAGGAAAAGTATTAGATAGAGGAAAGGTATTGAAGAATAGAGAGGAAAAGAAGAAGAAAGGATCGTAGGGGGGGATGCAAACCTTTGTTTCTGACTGTTTCCACTGCAGCTTTACTTGTACCGTACATGTTCCCGGCAAATACTGCGTGCTCAATAAACTCCCCTTGCGCTGAAAATAAATATGGAAAATATTTGTTTCCAATTTACAAGATTATAACATTTTTGCTTTATTGATCTTTTGCTTTTATTGCAGAAAAATCCTAGAAATAAAAACGCATTGCAGTGAATTATCATTACAAATATTGAAAAACTCACAAGGATCAAAATAACATTATTCAATTTTAATTTTTTTTAAGGCATTCTTCACAATTAAACTTATTCAATTTATTCTAAAAAAACCTGAAGAAAAAAAATATTTACATTTTTTTTTAGAAAAGTGAAATGTTTAAAAAGCAGATTTGAAAATTATTCTTACATATTGCTGCCTCCATAGCTTCTTTTGTCACAAAGTGATAAGCCTTCCCATTTTCTTCTCCTTCCCTAGTATAAAAAGACATGTTATATGAACCTTATTTAAAAACCAAAAAATGCTTAACGGATTTAAAACTAGACCTAGTAAACCTTTCTGCAGATCTCATTTTCTCAATTAAAAATCAACTAAAAATTTCCATCTGAAATTAGAAAAAAATTATTTTTCATCTAAGATGTAAGTTCCTTTCTTCTGTTAATTTCTCCATTGTTTCTGAAGCAAGAAATGCTCAAGTCCCTTATGGAGAGAAACTGTTGTGAATCGGCAATGCCACTCCATTAATGGAAGTACCCTTGAAATTCCGTTTACAGTCCCTTTCAGCATTTCCTTTTCTGTTCAACAAAAAGTGTGTATTGAGAAGAAGAAGAAATCTGAACATTTTCCCCTTTTCTTCGTTTCCCGCAATAACAATACCATTACATATTTACAATCCTTTGTTAGTATTGAACCTTAACAACCAGTAAAACATTACCCTCTCTTCTCCAATTCAACCGGTATTTGTGGAAAAGAAACATTTGAAAAAAATCTAAAATTTTTGAAAAATCTTCAAGTTTACTTTTATGCACATAAAATCTTTTTAACTTTTAGGATCCATTTAATTTCCATTTGTTGACATAAAATATCAATAGAAGATCTTCAATCTTCAAAAATGTCTTAAATTATTTTATATCAAGCTAAATAATTGCTTTACATTATTGAAACTATGAACAGTTGAAAAGTTTGATTTTGTAATCATCATCTAAAATGTTTGTTGAATTACTAAAATGCAGAAGTTGGGTTTGAATCATGAATAAATTATTAGCTCCATAAATCTTACAAAGTAATTTCAGAACATCTGTAGGCATTGAACAGCTTTAAACGTTCAACTACTTAAAACATGAATTTGCTTAATTACAAATTAAACAACACACTTTTTAGATAATCTTAAAATGTACCAAGTTTTTCTGAGGTTTATACTTTTAATTGATTCAGAGTTAGATCATCTGTGCAAAACAGCTTAATAACATTTGTCAAGAAGATTTTTGTGTCTTTCTATTGGTTGATTTTTTAGTTAGGAAATAACCATAGAGAATAGAATATATATTAGAGGGGAATTTAGAGAATCTCTCGGTATGAATTTTTTCAGTCCCTTTCAGCCTGAAAGGGAGTTCAAAGTGTACAAATCATGTAAATGTTCACAAATTATATGCAGTAGAGTAACCAAATACAGTATGTCCCCTAGACTATTCATTTCAATTTCGAATTTTTATAGCTGTTCAATAAACTTTATAATGAATTTTGTGAATAAAAAACATCATTTTATTTATAGTTATAACGGAAAATCATCGTTTGTAAAGTGAAATGATTATTGGTCAATGATGAAACCAGCCTATTTCATAATTTGGTTTTCTTTTAACATTAATTTTAGATTTTCTATAAAATGATATTCCAGGGCCCAAAAGGTTATATAGCATAAATATGTGAAGTACACCTGCAGTATTGAAACAGTACAACAAAATGGCCGTTTTACACTATTTTCTAGTAAATTCCCCTCTAATATATTCTATTCTCTTTGGAAATAACGTAATCCGTTAAACCAAAAAAGATCCCAAATATCATCTTTTTTTCAAGATTTACAAACCCAAAGTTTCGGTATTGTAAACTATTTACCTGGGTTTTCTTGTTGTGTGAGAGACACTAAACCCGAAATGTTTTGCATATTTTTCAAGCATTTTCTTGAGTAGTGTAGATTTCCCTACCCCTGATGGACCACATAACACTAAAATAAAAGTTTCTCTAAAATTAAGACTCCATTAAAATATTGAGAGGAAAGTAGTTTGAATTCTCAGAAATGATTTGTTCTAATTATTAAATCTAATTTCTTCGAATTTTTCATAAGATCTTCATAACTTTTAAACAGTGTCAAATATAATTTATTGTTAAATATTTAAATTAAATATATTTTTATTTCTCAAATCCGAATTCTTAATTTACCTAAAGGACTGGGGCCAGCCATTCTCGTTGAACTGGTAGCTCTGAAATATTAGAACAAATGTTTACAGGTTCAGATGTTGAGAACAGGTGGTAAAAGAACTCTATAAATACAGAGAATATAATTCATATAATTTCACAAAATATATAAATTGAGCATTTGAATTTTAGAACTGAGAATTTTCTAAGAGTTAATAATTTAAGCATGACTAGGCATTTGTAAAATTAGTTTAAAGGGAGATATTTGAAAATTTAGTGTTAAAGGGACTGTCAACGTAATTTTAAAGTGACCCAACATTTAAAAAGTGCCAACACCGATTCAAAAACATATCCAAAAACTGTTCTATAAGCATAACAAAATAAATCAAAGATGACAACCACTTTTTAAACGGGACTCTAGCAACTTATGTAAATTTAGCAAAATTTAAAAAGATGTAAATTAACAATTAAAGAACACTATTCTTAAAAAAAATAACAATGTTTAACTTTTAGATAGATTCATGTATATTACTGATCATTATTCTTGTTTTTCTGACATCCCAAGAACTTTTTTCCTCTGTGAAAACATATGAAGATACATTGGAGGAAATAGTGGAATATAAAGAAGCATAATGCCACCAATTACTAGTGGGAAGGAGAATGTAGCATTGATCATGTTAGGAAGAGAATAGGAGAAGAGTCCAGTCTTGGCTGCATACTGAAGACCAGCAAAGCTGCACAGAAGCTCTCCAGTGACTCCAACAGGATAAGCAATGATAAAGAATGTGTATCTAAGCCAGGTCAAGAAGTAGGGTGGAGTGGTCACAAGTTGAATAGCATACATGAGGTATCTGATCATCTCAGTGATTGTCCAAGCAAACAGCAGCATTAGAACACCTACTGAGAGACGAGCAGGAGGAAGGAGGTAGAGAATAGCCCAGGTAATGTAAACCCTGGAGAACACCTGCTGAAAAGTGACCTGAACGCTTGATCTGACCAGCCCTGTTGCTGCGTGTAGAATCTCTAACACGGCTCCCGTCTGAAATATCTGTAACGTCAGATGAACGCTTGAGTAGAGATTTGCCGTGGTACCGCCATTTTGAAAATGAAGAATAATTTGCAGAAGAAGGGTACTCCAACCCAGGAATTGAAGGGAGTTGTAAAAAAACAAATAGAATTTCACGCCTGACATTTTCCACTACCAGCAATACCCCAAGTCTGAAATACAAAATGAATATGAATGGAATGGAATAATTTGTGCTGAGATATGAGAAGTGTTGTTGAATATAATAATAAATGTAAACATATATTGTTTACTTGGATGTATTAGCAAACAAAGCCGAGCAAACTCTTTAGATAATAAACACCAATGTTTAAAATAAAGAATGAATATTTTAGATAAAATTTCTTTCAAAACATTTTAAATACTTTTTTCCTCATGTTTAAGCTAAATTTAACCCTTATTAGGGGCACCAAAGATCAATGACAAAAAAAAGAATTGCTAAATATTGTTAAAATTTATTAACACAATACACTATTTTTTCCTACGTTATTAAATGTAGAATTCAATTAAAAATTTTTGAGTGCTGTAAAATTTTGCTAAATTTTAATGAAAAAGTTTATTTGCATTGCAACTGTTGCGAGAAATTACTAAAACTTAATGACTTAACACTTTAAATATTCTTAACAAAATCATAGGATTTCAAAACGTTTTTTTCTTTTAAAGTAAAACAAGGATACAAGAATAGAAGGGTATAAGAATACAAGGATACAGGGATACATATATACAGATATACAGGGATTTAGAGATACTGGGATACAACGATATAGGGAATGATATAGGCATAAAGGAATAGGATACAGGAAGTATACAGGGTAACAGGGTTAAAGGAAACAATGTTACAAAGATCCAATCATGTTAAGATACAACGATACGAGAATGTAAGGAAACACAAAAATCTGGATACATGGAAAACTGGAATTTAAGGATACGAAGATATAGGGATACACTGGTAAATAGGTACAAGAAACTGAGACAATAGGATACAAGGACACAATGTTAACTGGATTCAGGGAAAACTGGGATATAAGGATACAATGAGGCCTGGATACAGGGATAACTGGGATATAAGGATACAATGACACCTGGATACAGGGATAACTGGGATATAAGGATACAATGAGACCTGGATACAGGGATAACTGGGATATAAGGATACAATGAGACCTGGATACAGGGATAACTGGGATATAAGGATACAATGAGACCTGGATACAGGAAAAACTGGGGTATAAGGATACAATGAGACCTGGATACAGCGATAACTGGGATATAAGGATACAATGAGGCCTGGATACAGGAAAACTGGGATATAAGGATACAATGAGACCTGGATACAGGAACTTTTAAAAATATGAAAAGGGACCAAATTAACTTAATGTAAAACATAGGTAAAAGTATACAACCACTTTAGTTCAAAATTTAAAGAGTGGTTGAAAAAAGAAATCAGAAATGAAAAATATATTCTTTAACAGCTGATTTTTCACACCGTGTTGTGTGTATCACAGTCCAAGGGCAACAAACCGGCCGGTATGGCGACTCGTTGGTCTTTCTGCAGCCAGTCTGAAATTCCAAATAATATTTTTTGTAAATGATAGCTATGCGTAGGCATTAATTTCAGCGTCAAACCGACTAGTTTTTTTATGAAGAATTTATTTTTAGACAAAGTGTACAAAATTATTGTGTAGCAGTCAAACATATTTTAATGCAAGATAAGGCCGCTAGGTGCCTCTGTTTACTTTCTCTGTAAGGCGCTAGTGTAAGAATTAATTTTATATTTTATAAAGTTTGGTTTCAGCAATTCTTTTGCAAAACGTACTTTGATGTTTTTCGATGTAAAAACTTTTTTCTTTTATGAAAACTCTGTTGTTTTCACATTTATAAAAATTTGGTTGTTATTTTATTTTACATATAAACCATACCAGAACTAAATAATTATTATGTCAGAGATCGCATCGAACTATGGAAGGAAGGCCTCCCTGCAAACATTTAGTCTCCGACAAACCGATGGCGAACATAAAGTCCAGAATTATTTACCCGCCAATTTCACCATCGTCACATAAAGTCGGTAAAAATGTTTCCTGGGCAACCACAAAAATATCTAGTCCGAGCCACATTCTCCTCATATTCTCGTCCGAGCCACCTCTAAATCCTCGTCCTTCCAATATTATTTTTTTTAATGTCCAACCCTTACAAAATACTTTTTGAAAATCTGGCGACGTTATGGAATAAGACACGGTGAGACTAAAATATTGCAAATGTTTTTTTATCCTGTTGGAACATTCAAATCCATGAGAATGATGTCAAACTTTATTTAGAGTAAAACTTAAATCTGTTCTGCCTGTGTAATGTTAAACTTTTATAATTTAAAAGTGATATCAAAAGATTTACTTGAACATAGTCTGTAATCATTCCATTTCCACCCTTATAAAAAATCATTGATTTTTCATATATTTACAAAAAAGGGAAATTTTTTGTTTTCACGTACCAAATCACTAACCCCTCTCAGGTGCTAGGGGAGGGCGCGCGCCCGGCCCCCCCCTAGTTGCGCCTATGATTGCCTGTCACACAATTTATCCAAGTTATACGATAAAAATATGGAATTTAAATTATTTAAAACATTTCCTACAATTTACTCATCACACCCCTATGAATTCAAACAGCATTTTTATCGTTAATCCGAATTTGAAATTTTTATTTGAAGAAGCAGAATGTCAGCAAAGATTGTCGCCACAACAGTGCTTAGAATGTATTGCGGTAAAACTGCAGCGTATTCTTTCAGCAGTTTGCGTCCCAATTGGAGACAGGCCAGCTATAACTACAATTTCTCGTCCGAGCCACATACTCCTAATTTTCTCGTCCGAGCCACATACTCCTCATTTTCTTGTCCAACAAACCTCAAAATTCTCGTCCTTCTCAATGATAGATAAGCTTATTTGTAAAACATCATATACAAAGCATATTCATTTTTCCACATATTTATATATATATATATGTTTGGTAAAATTTAATGTAATGGCCAGATTTTCAAAAAATATATTTATCTGCAAGAGTTGGACATTTAAAAAGATATTATTGAAGGAGGACTAGGATTTTGAGGTGGCTCTTGACGTGTAAATGAGGAGAATGTGGCTTGGACTAGAAATTGTTGTGTTTGGCCTTCCTCCCCTCATCGAACCAAAGTAATCCAACCTATAAAGTCAGATTAAAGGTGCTGGGCAATAAGTATCTTAACGTTTAAACCCAATGCTGAAGAAATAAAAGAATTGTTAATTGATTGTGACTTGTGCGGACTTGTAATTGACGTGAGGTTTGCAGGTCCTTTCTGTACAAGGAATATGAAACTGTACAAATTTTACAGTATTCATGGCAATGTACATCAAATTGTAAAATGTACATTGTATGCATTGAATAAACTAAAAAAGTGTTGTCTTGTTTTTTTTCAGTATTTTTAAACTGTGTTAAAATTTCCCAAGAAATATATGTAGAAAAATGTGTTTATTGTGTAGGAGCAGGAATTTCAATAGCGTACGCGCTTTAACCCGATGAATTATCTCTCTAGTTTGCGTAGTGCGTACATCCCGTCGACCTTGGGCGTATATATATATATGTTTATGCCATGTCTGCTAGAGCCAGGGGTTTCTTGCATCAACCCATTCTTATCTATACAAGGATATAGGGATATAGGGATACAGGGACACAGGGATACAAGGATACAGGGATACAGGATACAGGGATCACAGGTATCACAGGGATACAGGGATAACAGGGATACAGGGATCACAGGGATACAGGGATACAAGGATACAGGGATACAGGGATACAGGGATACAGGAATACAGGGATACAAAGATACAGGGATACAAAGATACAAAGATACAGGGATACAGGGATATAGGGATGCAAGGATACAGGGATACGGGGATACAAGGATACAGGGATACAGGGATACAAGGATATTCAAGGATACAGGGATATAGGGATACAGGAATACAGGGATACAGGATACAGGATACAGGGATACAGGATACACAGCACAGGGATACAGGGATACAAGGATACAGGGATACAGGGATACAGAATACAGGGATACAGGGATCACAGGGTTACAGGGATCACAGGGATACAGGGATACAAGGATACAGGGATACAGGGATACAGGAATACAGGGATACAAGGATACAGGGATATAGGGATATAAGGATACAGGGATACGGGGATACAAGGATACAGGGATACAAGGATATATAAGGATACAGGGATATAGGGGTATAGGGATACAGGGATACAGGATACAGGGATACAGGATACAGGGATACAGGGAGCACAGGGATACAGGGATACAGGGATACAGGGATACAAGGATACAGGGATACAAGGATACAGGGATACAAGGATACAGGGATACAGGATACAGGGATCACAGCTGAATACAGGGATACAGGGATACAGGGATATAGGAATACAGGGATACAGGGACTGCACAGGGATACAGAAGTACAGGGATACAGGGATACAAGGATACAAGCATCCAAGACTATCAATATTTTTTTCAAATTTTGATTCTTTATATTTTCAAAGAGTGTTAAATTTAAAGTGTGTTATGCCGGGAAACACAGACAGAAAACCGTTGAAAATACTATTAAAATGACCCCCTGCCTTTCCTTTCTTACAGCATGTCCCCCTTGCCCCCTCTCTAAGCATACCTGAAGGTATATTGAGGTGTAAGATGAGTCATCCAGGGTGTATGAGTCAGAAACCAGTTTTTTTCAACCCAATGTTTTATACTGAGAGACAGAGGTTTGGATTTAGACAAGAGGGTTAGATGATATCCTTGGGTAAATACGCATATTTTATATAATGCGTGTTTACGCAGAACTATAAGCATACCAACTCTGTTTACAAATGAATATACTTTTTAATTACCTTATATGGAAAATATAAAAGAATGGATTGGATCAACGGATCGTCATGGTTGGATCATTGGATCTTTGGGAAAAGAGCCTAATCGTATTTTTGAAACTGCTCTTTATTAGAACCCCAAAATTCAGTTTCCGTACATGGTCTGTTTGTATATACTTGTTCTATGTATACAAAGTTGTAATGTCTGTTTGGGTGTTTGGTTGTATGTATGTCCGATCAAAACTCATCAACACGT